CTGGTGCAGCCCTGTCCTGTCCAGGCAGCCCAGAGCTTCCCTGGCCCTCCTGGGAGCTGCTCTGGCAGGGGTCTGCCCATTTTCAGATCTTGAAGACTTTCCTCACTTGATTTTATGATTCTCGGAGGTGGGGTGCTGGCCTTCTTTCCTCCTTGGATGCTGTCACTGTCTCTCCACACATTCCGGCCTGTTCTGGGCTCCGATGGGGCAGGGCAGCCTTTCCCTAGGGGCTGGGACCTTTTCCAAAGGTTCTACCAATTGCGTGGGGACACAGCATGCCATCCTAAACTTAGGGTCCTCAGAGGCTGGAGCTTGAGCCACGCCTGCTGTGGGAAGGGAGGGTCAGGGTAATGTCTGCTCTGACCCCTTCCTCTGCCCTGTCTTCCCCAGGCTGCTGCTCCTGCTGCCCCGTGGGCTGTGCCAGGTGTGCCCAGACCTGCATCTGCAAAGGGGCATCGGACAAGTGCAGCTGCTGCGCCTGACTTGGGGGAGAGCCTGCTCCCGACAGAAACAGAGCAACACGTACACACGCAAATACAAACACGTACACCCCCAAGGTTTAAACGTTTTGTGAAACAAACCTGACCTTGTACAACATTCCTGTTTCCATAAAAATCTGTGAATCTATTAAAGTTGTTGACTGTAGTCTGGCTCTGTTTTCCTCTGTGTGTCTTGGAAATAAGGGACTTCGCACCCATCACGGCTGGGGTGGGGGGTTGGACGGGAAGTGCAGAGACCTGGGTTCTGGACCCAAATCCTGGCCCCTAACAAACCGAGTGTCTGAAGCAAGTCAGGATCCCTCTCTGAGCTTCAGTTCCTCAGCTGAAAATGAAAGTGTCACCCAGGTGACAGAAGGGCTCGGGGCAGACAGAGGTTCCCCTCTGCTCTCACTGTAAGTATTGAGGGCATAGAAACTTCTCCGTTTCTTCCCCCTTTTCACTCACTGGGGATCCCCTGACAAACTTCAGTCCTGGGACATGTCAGGCTTCCAAAGTCCTCAGAGTGGGTGGAATTAAACTCCCCACTCGGTAGACTTCTACACTGGGCCTGCTTTAAAACACTGTGTTAAAGGGCCTCTTTATATTTTCTAACAGAGATTTAGACATTGGTAAATAAAATGAACTACTAAGAATAACTTGGAAAGTACACAATATAGAAAACCCATTTTTAGATTCAACACACAGCATTTCAACGAATATATGAAGAACAAAGAAGAAAATTAGAGCTTTAAAAACGCTGCTCAGAAAAAAGACACACAAATTCATATAATGTTATAAATGAATGTTACCTCAATGAAACCAAACAACGCTGCCATGTCATTGAAGGTGTGCTTCAAGCACTGGAAACACTTCACAGACGTCCCCGGGTGTGGACCACGCACACCTCGAGCACCACTGCCCCCACCGTCCCCACAGGGGACCAGCACTCTTGGCTTGCCCAGTGCCCCGGACAGGACACCTGCTACCCCTGAGAGCTCCCTGTGGTGTTCGGCTGCGAGTCTTTGGAAGCTCCTCCCTGGGTCAGGCTGAACTCTGCCCCTCCTTCCAAACCCAGCCTTGGCTCCTTGAAACTGGCCAAGGGACCGGAGATTTGGAGGCAAGTGCCCAGCCAGTTCTCAGCAAGAGGGAGTACCCCTGACAACTGGGTCCAGAGGAAGGACCTCATGTTTGCCCAGGCAGAATGATGGTTCTGCGGTTTGCAGGGCTTGGTGGTCTTTATTAGGCAGGAGTGAGAAGCTGAGCGATTTGTAATTCATGCCATTGGTTAGTCCCCCTCCCTGGCTACTTGTGGAGGGACCTGCTATGCGATGTTCAATCAAAGAGAAAGACGAGTCACGTGGCCCAAGAGTCAGGACCTCCTTTGTCCACGGGTGCCCTGTGTGAAGAGGAGATTTCAGAAGCCAGCCTGTGCATAGTCCTTGGGTTTGGGTGTCAGGTAGTCCTGGTTCACAGGCCCCTAGGCCACTTCCTGGCCAAGGGACCTGAGGAAGTCCCTCAAACACTCTGACCTTCCGTTTCCTCATATGTTAAAATGAGATGATATGTCAATGTGAGGGATTAAATAAGACAGTATCCTGGCTCCTAGCTATGGCTTCATGCACAGTGTCCATTGTGTTCATTATCCTCACAGTTACTTTCTTAGAGTCAGAATCCTGTTGAATCGCAAGAAGCTTTGGGGAAAGGCTCATTGGTGTGGAAGCATGACTCTGGGTTAGAGGGTAAGGGTGGGATTGTTAACTGAATGATCCAGTGCCAGGGGGACGGTGGACGACCTGCAATTAGCCCACTGGGACAAGACGCTGCCACAGGATTTGGACAGACACGGAAGCCTTTCTGACGCTTCATGTCTTTTGGTTTTCACACGCTCCAGTGAAGGAGACAGCAAATAGGAAGGGCTGGAGTGGGTGTGCCATCTTCCAGAGAGGGTAAGCCACCTGCCCAAGGTCACACAGCTGGAAAAGAAACATATGAATGAGCATATGCTACAGCTGGCCTCACCCCCGGCCACGGCTGGCAGATCATGATGTCCCTGGATGCTACATCGTGCCTGTCCCAGCTCAAAGCTGGAAGGACTCTTAGAATGGACTCACTTTGCCATTGGGTGAGAGATGAGAAACTGGAGCCCAGAGAGGGCACAGAGCTATGCCCTGGGCTCTTCCCACTCAGCCTCTGGGCCAGGTGTTCAGTGTCCCCGTCTTTCATGTGAAGTCCGGAGGTAGGGTGGAGGGGAGGGCACAATGCTGCAGTCACCCTGCATGAGTGCCAACCTCACCTGGGTCACTCACAGCCCCGTGACATAACCTGTCTGTGGCTCAGTCTCCTCCACTGTCAAAGGGGCAAAAGACGGAAAAGCATACGGCTTAGAGGATGAAATGAGTCAGGACAAGAAAAGAACTTAGCAAGGGGCCTGGCATGTGGTGAGTGGGCTAGGATATCAGCTATTATTATTACTGTGCACAGCGTAGGGGATATTTATTTACCTCTAGACAAATCAGCCAGGGCTGAGAGGCGTACAGGGCTGTGTGTCCTGTCAACCACATGAGGATGTGACCTGTGGATCAGAGAGAGTCCTTCACACTTCACACAGATCTGTGATGGGCACCAGGGACATTAGGCCATGAGGAACAGGCTCTGTGCCTTCACAGTCACCAAAAGAAACCTGCCATTTCTTCTACCACCTAACTACATTTTATTTAAGATTGTACTTTGATTGATTCCTATTTTCTTTCATGTATTTGCGTGAAAAGAAAACTCTTTATTACTACTGAAAGTGAGAATCAGCTTTATTCCAGACAAAGAAGAGAACCAGAAAATTATACAGAGTTTTCGCTTGGGGATCACTTTTCTTGCTGCCCACGCTTCAGCTGGCAGCTTGCTCTTCTTGACAGGTTTCCAGAGTAGAGAGTGTTGTGGACAGAGCCAGACCAGAGGCTGGCTTGTCAGGGACCTTCCCTTTCCCTTGGCAGGCTCACTGGATTCAGGTCCCAGCTGTGTGATTTTGGGCAGGTCATTAGGACTCCATGTGGCGAGTTGTCCTAGAAGTAAAATGGGCTCATGAATACAGAGATTTTCCTTGCAGCCTGTTGTGAGGGTACAAAGATAAAAAGTGATGAAAACATCGGGAGGCACACACTAAACGCCACGGAATTGTTAGGGATGTTGGAAGGGAAACAACCCCCTTCTCACTGTGTTATCTATGTCTCCCTGTGAGCAATAATGATCCTTTGGGGCGACCCACGCTTTGGGACCGCCTGGAGTGCGGAGTACTGGTAGGCTGTGGGGAGCACTAGAGATTTTTATGGAAAGGACTCGGACACATATGCCCATAAACGTCTTCAGGTGGGGACTGGAAGGAAGGAAGGAGGCAGAGGTCTGTCAGCCCTGATGCAGTGGACAAGAGAAAAGCGGCTGAAGACCTATGTGGGGACAGGGAGAAGAAATGTGGGTGGCAGGCGAGTCACATTGTGGTTGGTCCTCGGCACACAACTCCCTCGCGTCGCTCTCTGGCTCCAGCCAAGTCAAGGACGTGAGCGCGAGCCTAGGGTTGCACACGGGCTCCGGGAAAGGCCGAACCTGAGGACAATCGCGCTGGGGCTGGGGGTGGGGGGGTTGCGGAAGACGGCGGGGACTCAGGAGCTGAATTCCAGGAACCTTCGGGGTCGGAATTGGCTGCGACCTCGGGAAAATTGGGAGGGGGCGAGGAGGAGGCTGGGACAAGAGCGCCGCCAGGAACATAAGTCTGTCCGCGCCAACGAGCGCCAAAGGGGCGGCACCCTCGGTGCACACGGAGCCCTGCTGCGCTCGGGGATCCTGCGCCGGGCACGGTGCGCACAGCCCAGCCCAGCCCAGCCGGGGGCGCTG